TTAAACGCAGGGTGGCCATTTTTCCAAGTACAAGTCCCGGGGAAAAAAGAAACATCTTCCCCGTGGGCAGAGGGAAATGCTGACATAGCGGCTCCACTCGCAAAGGTTGGAGTTCACCGTCCCTCGTACGCTTGGTCCATGTGTCCACAGTTGTTTGAGAACTGACTTTTATTGGCACTTTACCTCCCTTATTTAACAGATATTTCCAGGAAAAACAGCTAGCATTGAGTAACGGGGGCTGGCCTAGACCCGAAAGGTTGTTTTTGCTGTGCTTTTCTGAGAAGAGCTGTGTTGTCATCAGAACTGTGCTAAGAGAGCGCTAATCAGCGTGTGTTCCGAAGGAGGGCCAGTCCTGGTCAGGGGGTAGGCCAGGGCCGACTGGAGAGAGATCCTTCTGCAGGATGCCTTGAGGTGGGTCGCAGGTCTCACTTCTCACACTTGATTATCTAAAGGTGCATTGTTTGTTCATGAACATCATTGATCATCTCCCATGTGTTAAGACAGCCTGAGGGCTCAGCAGGTGGCTTGGCGGTTCAGGTTGCTGGACTCCCACATGGCCAACTGCGGTTCAATTCCTCGACCTGGCAGCTTGCTTTCTCACTTTCCCTTTCTCTCTCTCTCTCTGGTCCAATTAATAATAATAATAATAATAATAATAGTAATAACATAAGATAAATAATTATTTTTTTAAAAATGCCTGCAAAAAAGACTCTTGAACATTGAGGAGAAGAGATAGAAGAGTCCAGGAAATGACATATTGCTTTTGGAGAGTTTTTTTTTTTTTTTTGGGGGGGGGGTGCGCTCGCCAGAAAGACAGAGAGAGATAGAGAGATAAAAAGTGAGAAATCATCCTCCGGGGGGATGGCCACGCTGCAATCCCTTGTCCTCCATTCTCCTCTTGGGATCTTGGGCACACACGCACATGCGCCCGGCATGATTTTAAGCCACCGGGTCTGGGAGTTGAACCGCGGTCAGCTACATGGGAGTTCAGTGACATAGCCACTACGCCAACTGCTGGTCTCCAGGAAGTGACAGCTTCTAAGCTGGGTCCTGAAGAATGAATGTCAGCCCCTTAGACAATGTTTGGATTAATGTCCCTAAAAGCAAACATGGAAACAAGGAGAGGAGAACAAGAGTTTATTTGGGAGGTGATCTCGGGAAGCACCAGCAAGGAGTTGAGAAATAAGACAGGGAAGGGTAGATAGAAAGGCCAGAATGGTTTTAGTCATCATCTGGTTATCACCATGCGTAACCTGGGCTCAGTCTTGCTAGCAGACGCCAGGAGGAGTTTATCATGGTATGCCTCAGCGTTGTCCCGTATGAGGAGAGGGAGGTGGGGTATTGATCTGTCAACTCCCATCAGCCGTTAGCTGCGACTATCCGGCAGGCGTTGGCTCCCTGGAACTCAGAGGTGGCTGAGCTGTGAAGGCCTGAGTCTTACAGGTGCCTGGAGTTGGACAATATTAGGACATGAACACACAGGAGTGGCCACCTGCTCTCCCGGGACCCTGCCAGCATCTCTTAGAGGGAGTCAGGGCACATTACCATGAACTATTTGCAGCAGAGGGAGCAGTCCAGATTCTGTGGCGTGTACTAAGGAACCCAGAAATGGTTAAGATGGCAACCACAGAAGGTTGAATGCAACCTGATTTGGGTGGAGTCCTGCTGACAGTTTGCTTAGGCAACTGGGGGAAATCTGTGAGTTCAAACGAGAATTCAGGCCAGGTGTTTCTCTAGCATCACCCGCCACACACACACTCCCGCCCCGACCCCACCCAGCAGTACATTTGCATCTTTCTCAGATCCATGTCTGTCCAAACCAGGAAGAAATTGATGAGATAGCTAAGGCACAAGAAGAATTTGGGTTAAAAAACAACTGTCCTTGGGACCAGCAGATGGCGTAGTGGTTATGTTGTTGGAGAACCCCACATGGCCAACCGTGGTTTGAATCCTGGACCCAAAGGCTTGAAACTCATGCCTGGTGTGTGTGTGTGTGTGTGTGTGTGTGTGCGTGTGTGTGTCCACACACAATAACCAATACCCAATACCAAGAGGAGACTGGAGGAGAAGGGACTGTGGCGTGGTCATGCCCACTGGGAGGTGATTTCTCTTTTTCTGTCTCTCCAGTGAATGCATGCGCCCTATAGCAAAAAAACTAAGAAAATGAAAAACAACGAAACTGTCCTTTGGTCCGGGGCAAAGCACTACCTTGTCTTCAGGTTAGGTTTGCCCATTTCGGCCTTCCTGGCCACTCGATGCTTCTGCTAGCTGGATGTCATGGACAGAGCTCCACGTGCAGTCAGCCCTCCTGCTTGGGCCTCGGCACTGCCAATGGGAGTCCACATCAGGGCCTTTGCACCTGCTGTCCCTTTCTTCAGAGGACCCTGCCGAGGGTCATTCAGCGATGGCTCCTGTTTTCAATCTGAGCGCTGCAGCTTCCTAGTCAGTGAGGCCCCTCCTGACCTGCGGACCTAAGAGAATCTCTGATCTCTAACCTCCATCCCATTATTAGGTTTTATTTCCTCTATAGACATCATAGATCCATGTATTCGCTTTCTAATATGCTGCCTTTTTCATTCAGCAGAAATTTGGCATTGTTCACCATTATCTCCCCAACACCTGGCATACATTACCAAAGGAGTGAATGGATAAATGATTGATGGATGGAATAAATGAGTGAATGAATTAAGTGGTCAGCACAATGTCACAGAGAGGGCTCAATACAATGGCTTTTTTATTTATTTTTTTTGAGAGTTTTTTGCTATAGGGTGCGTGCACTCGCCAGAGAGACAGAGAGAGACATAGAGACAGAAAGCGAGAAATCACCCCCCAGAGGAGATGGCCACGCCACAATCCCTTCTCCTCCATTCTCCTCTCGGGATCTTGGGCACGCACGCACACGCGCCCGGCATGCGTTTAAGCCACTGGGTCCAGGACTCAAACCGTGGTCGACTACATGGGAGTTCAGCGACATAGTCACTACGCTAACTGCTGGTCCCAAAATGACTTTTTATGACACAGGATTAAAAGGAGAAAGGAGAGACCATTCTGAAATTCACCACAGAAAGCCCTGTCGATAACTGTCTCTCTGCATTTCCTTTCCTTCCAGAGCTGGCCAGGTA